TTATTGGGAAAGTGATGGGGGCTATTAGTAGAGGAAGAGGGAAGATTGTGGATGGAAGTTAAAAGTGAGAAGTATGGAATATGAGGGGAACATAGCTTTAATTGGTTAAGGGAAGGGGTTGGATCAGGATCTACATGGTGAAAGGATATTTGTAGACTAAATAGTGCAGATAGAGAAAGGGAGGGATGGTTGGTTAATGGGTTCAAATTAAGAGTAGAAAGAGGAGAAGGGGTAAGTTTTTGGTGGGATAATTGGTGTGAGGATCCCTGCTTTGCTAACAAATATCCTAGGCTTTATATGTTATCTACAGGGAAAGACAACAAGATTTCACAAATGGGAGATTGGAGTAGTGACAAGTGGAAGTGGGACATAAAATGGAGAAGGGAATTATACAGTTGGGAAGAGCAACAAGTCGCTGAACTCTACAAAGATATCCGAGATGGTCCAATGGAAAAAGGAAAAAGTGATCTGCGATTGTGGATCCATAGCAAGGATGGGAAATATTCTACAAGATCAGCATACCAAGCACTCACTACGGAACCAAGTGGATAGCAACAACAGTTAATTCTAAAAAGGTCTTGGAACTCAATTGTACCAAGCAAGATTGCAGCATTTTCATGGCAATTAATCCAAGATAAGATACCAACAAGAGGAAACTTGCTAAGAAAGGGCATTATTCAAGATCCTGCAGAAAGTAAATGTGTTTTTTGCAAAGTGGAAGAGGAAGATTTCGGCCATCTTTTTATTCATTGCAAACTAGCATACAACTTATGGTTTGCATGATTCCAGTGGTGGGGTTTTTGTACTGCACTTGATAAAGATTGCTGGGGAGTGTTCGAGTAGCATAGTTTCTTGATCAAAATAGAGGAGATGAAAGAAGGCCGGGAGTGCATTTGGTTCGCTGTGGTGTGGACAATTTGGCTGGCTAGGAACGAGCAAATATTCACAGGGAAAACACAGAAGGAAGGAAGGTTATTTGAGTTAATCCAACTACGAGCCTTCTACTTGTTAAAAGGCAAAAGGGGAGGTTGTTTTTTTTCCCTCTCCGATTGGATATTTAACCTGGCTGACTGTATGATGATGAACTGCAACAAGAAAAGAAGATGACAGATGGCATAAAATAGAAGAGGTATGACTATGGGCTTATAAAGTCAGTTACACGCTAGTATATGTGTAAGAGGGTAAATGTACACACAAACATCAGATTTTGTAAAGGGGTTGGGGTACCCCTTGTACCCCCAATAATTAAAGTCTT